GTATTTTACCACAATAAACAAACACACAAAATCACCTACCCTATAACATTAATACTTTCAATTTTACAGTTTTTCTTCCAATAAAATACATGATTCAAATCATTCAAAGTGTTTCAAAACTGACTTTTTTTTAGCTAAAGAAAGAGTTCTTAACACAAGACAGGCAAAGAGTAAAACATTAATCAGATTTTTTAAAAATTTGATGACTGCTCCTTATAATCTCCCTAACTTTCCTACCCACAAATACGCATGCATGTACTTCAACATCAGAGAAATGCTTTAACAAAAGAAGTTTCTAAGACATGTTACTGTGACAAATACACATAATCCAATAATACAATTTTCTAGATATAGGTACTGATTCATTTCAACATAGTTAATAAAGAAAACAGGCTTTCAAGCAAAACTGCCTGGGTTAGAATTCTAGTTTTACTATTTTCTAGCTATTACTTAGATGCCTTAGGTCCCCGCTTCCTCACTGCAAAATTAGGATAATATCTACTTCAGATGTTGTTCAAGAATCAAATGAGTTAACATATGGAATGTGCTCAGAATAGTACCCTAAGAAGTGAGCATTCAGTAAGTATTAGCTATTATATCTCTTAATACTCAGAAAAAGCATGAGACCACTCTAATGTATTTCTGAAAAAATTTAATACAATGGAAACTATTTTCTGATTCACTAGAAAATGAAATTGAAATAACAGATTTCTGAAAATTACAGAACTAAATTAGCCATCTTTTCTTTTCCCCCTCCAGGTGGAGTTTCGCTCTTGCCGCCCAGGCTGGAGTGCAATGCTGTGATCTCGGCGCACTGCAACTTTGACCTCCTGGGTTCAAGCGATTCTCCTGCCTCGGCTGCCCAAGTAGCTGGGACTATAGGTGTATGCCACCACCCCCGGCTATTTTTTTTGTATTTTTATTAGAGATGGTGTTTCACCATGTTGGCAAGGCTGATCTAACCCTAACCCTAACCCTAACCCTCAGCCTCCCAAAGTACTGGGATTACAGATATGAGCCACCAAGCCAGGCCCAGTGTTTGTTTTAAAGCTACTATTAGTATGGCTGCAGGGAACCACTATAAATACTTTTGCATTTCCCAAAGTCTCTTCCTGCTTTATTGTATTTTAATACAAAAATCTCCTCTACTCTTCATACAAATCTATTATAGCCAGAAATACTTTGTCCTTCCTGTGTTACTAGCAAAGTTTCATATACGTTTGCAGGTATGTGTTTATGTGTTTAAGGGAGAGAGGAGGCAATACATTTCTCCTCTTCTGTCAACTATTTAACAGTAAAAGTCCTTCAAATGAGAGTTATCTCCAACACCTTACAATTGTTAAACAGTAACTATCTACTTATGCAATAAGCCCCATCTGCAAATTTCCAAGAGTCAATCACAAATTTTATCATCTAGAGAATTTCTGAGAATGAATAATAATTATGCTGCGATAGAAGGTAGAAAGCAGGACTGTTCCAGGCAAATCTGGGTGTATGGTAACTCTACCTATAAAAAAGACTTTTTAGGTAGCATCCTAAAATATGGGAATAAGGTATCATTATTATATTTATCTCATCATATTCTGGACTTGAGTTTTAAAAACCTTAGAAGTCTAATCTTAAAAAAGGCAACATTAAAATACATTTAATTCTTAAAAAAAATTTTCCCATTTTCTTTTGATTATTTCTGAAGAAAGCAAAAAAAAAAAAAAAAAAAAAAAAAAAACAAGACAGTCTGTCTAAGAAAAATGGAATATCTTTTAAGGTAATACTTTAAAAAGACTCCTGAATCATAGCTTTCTTTCATTAGCTGCTTATGATTCTTAGGTGATTGAAATTACAAAAAACACAGTATACTCGTGGTTCTGTGGTAAACAGTAACTGAAAACTACAGCGTTAAGCATGGCAGCTGGCATATATCTATGCAGCCATACTGTTATTTAGAGCCAGCGCCCGTCCTGATTGAATGTACCAGTTATAAATCTGAAAATCATCTTTGGTGTTATGTATACATAAATGTTAACTCCATTAGCTAACACATTAGAGAATGCCAAGTACATACAAGACCACTGTGACTAAAACTGCAAGAAAACACAGATAGAAATACACAGCTTATGCTCTCCCCAACAGCTCACCTTCTACTAAAAGCAAGGAGCAATTCAGAGAGTCTCAACTTCAAGTATTTGGTTTTAATGAATTTGGTATCCTGCTCTGCATGTATACCAGTTAGGTATTGCTTAAACCAGCATTAGAATTCACTTGAATCTGTACTCATTAAATGTTGATAGAACAGTATGAAGTATAAACCAAAAACAAGCATCCAGGGAAATCTGGATTTTAAAATATGGAACGCATGTAGCTGAGAATTAACATGAAGTAGATAAACAGATTAAGCAACAGAAAAATAATTAGCAGCACTCTACAGTATAATGCCATTAATCATCTAAACATTGTTCAAAGATTTGTTATACTTATGAACAAAGGTTACATGAATAAAAAATGGTCTGGGATAGTGGTTCATGCCTGTAATCCCAGTACTTTGGGAGGCTGAGGAGGGTGGATCACTTGAGGTCAGGAGTTCAAGACCAGCCTGGGCAACGTGGCAAAACACCATCTCTACAAAAACAAAAATTGCCAGTTATGGTGGCACACGCCTGGAGTACCAGCTACTCTGAGGCAGGAGGATCGCTTGAGCCTGGGAGGTGGAGATTGCAGTGAGCTGAGATCACACCACTGCACTCCAGCCTAGGCAACAGAATTAGACCCTGTCTCAAAAAAAAAGGAGGGGTAATTTTATCAGTTTGGAAAAAAAGCAAACTTCCAGATAATGCCACTGCCTATCTGTAGCAATTACCTCTGCAGCAATATTCTACAGAGTTTCTGAATATTCTTATACAAGCTAAGTACTTATTTTGTTGTCATTAGTTCATGCCACCTCTGTCCCACTTACTTTAATAAACAATTAGTACTGAACATATAAAATGTTAGCCATCTGGGGATACTATATTAGTATATAATGAAATCCTTTCATTCTGTCATTTGCAAGAACATGCATGAGCCTGGAGGACATTGTGTTAAGTGAAATAAACCAGGAACAGAAAGACAAATACTGCTACACACAATCTCACTTATACGATCCAACTCAGAGTAAAATGGTGGTTACCAGAGGCTGGGGGCCATGAGTGAGATAGGGGAAATGATTTTCAAAGGGTACAAAAGTTTCAGTAAAATGGGAAAAACAAGTTTTGGAGATCTACTGTACAGCTTGATGACTATACTTAATAATAACTGTACATTTCAAAACTGCTACGAGAGTAGATTTCAGAATGTTTTCACCCCAAAAATATAAGTATGTGAGGTAATGAATATGTTAACTTGATTTACTCATTCTACAATTGTAGACATAATCAAAACATCATATTACACTCCATAAACATATACAAGTATCACCACCAATTAAAAATAACATTTTTTAAAAAGATTTTTAAGAATTAAAAAAAAAAAAATTATTTCAAATCATTTACTACCTAGTAAAGTTTAAGTAACATTACAAAGGAATCCAAAAGGATTATTACCACAATTAATACTCTTTTTTTAGTATCATTTATCAAATTTGTTAAAATATTAATTATTCCTACCTTTTATCTAATTCTTTTTAAGAGGACAAAGGATTCATATAGAAATCACAAAAGTCCTCATTTTGAATCACGTAAGTCCCCTTTCATTTGGTTAATACTCAGCATATTAAAGGCCCAAGAACCACAAATCTAATCCCAACTAATGGGTGGTTTCTGCTCAATCTACTTGTTGGAACAAGAAATTCACTGAAGTTAGAAATACTATTGCCGTCTGGAGTAAGGACGTCTAATCTATTCCAACATCCTCTTTCCTCTATTTTTGAGAGAACAGATCCTCTAAAGCCAAAATTATTTTTTCATATTTTTCTTACGCTTTTTGAGAGTAGAGGTGACAATGGAAGGAAATCAAAGGCATTGAGGATGAAAGACAGGAGCAGTAGCTGACATTTAGAGGTCAAGGATGAATGTTAGGGAAGGCCTATTCAGATCATGCATTTGGCTCTGTAATCACAACTGGCACCTTAAAGACAGCTCTCTTGCAAATAAAAGTAAGTGAGGGCACATGGCTGTCCAGTATAAGCCGATTTTATTAATAGGAAGTAATGTCCAATACATGTCTTTCATGCTGCCCTGATGAGGACAAGCAGCTATTTTTTCATCATTTACTACTAGCTTTCTCCCTGGGAAGAAGTAATTATTACCTCAATCAATCTTGTTAGTTTCATAAAAACTTGCTTAAGGCAGATAAAGATCAAAAACAAAGTAAAAAAGGCACCCAGATGAAAAATTCAAATAAAAAATAAAATTTGGAAATTGTGAGTTTTTTCTCAGTTACCAGTAACCTGGTTTTTAATTAATAATCAAAAGTAGCTAAAAGTACAGCTACTTTTGAATCACATAGTATGATAAACACTTACATTACTTTTGTTTAAAAGAAGTAAATACCAGGTACCTGGCACCCAGTAGCAGTCTCCTGAAAGGAAACCAGTATACAAAAAAAGACCAGACTGAAATATTAATTTCAATTTCTTCACAAGATATAATATTTTGATCTACTCCTATCCTAAGAGTATCTACTTTTTATTTTTTCAAAACAAGTTAATACTGGTAACATTTATAACTGAGTATGGATTTATACATATACTATTAGCAACTTGTTTGGGAATCATTATCATATTTTTGGATCACAAGATTAGTTTCTGTATATTCTTCTCAATTTTAGAACAATGTCTCTTTCCCATATTCAAACATCAAGACACATAAATATCTGTTTCAGTTCAAATTTGTTGAAGATATAAGAAGTATTATATCTATTACTTTTAATGCAATGCAATCAAGATTCTATTTTATTTGTAAAAAATTTTTGAAAAACACTTGCAAGTTATTTTTCTTTCAAAGTCAAATGTCTTATTTACTATTTACCCGGTGGTGGAATCAGAGGTGGAGCAGTGCTGACAGTCGGAGGAGGTGGAAGAAATGGAGGAGGTGGAAGGTGAGTGGGAGGAGCTCCTGGAGGGAAAAATGGAGGTGGTTTGCTAAAATTGTTGTCTACTTCAGTAGCAGATCTTTCAGAAAGGACCTAAAATTAGAGCATAGTTAAACAGATGCATAAATATTTTTATCTAACATTAATCTTAGTAAATTAATTTCATTTAATCTTAAGAAACAAAGTAAAAGGTAATTTAATTCACCTATGTAGTTTTGGTGGGAGAGTAATAATTCTACATGTGTGGTATGTGTGTACATATACTTATGTGAGTATACGCACACATATACTTTTTAAAATGTGCATATTCAAATCTTTAGAAAAAACAACTGGATCATTACCAAAAAATTCTTAATAAAAAGTAATTAATAAAAACACTCCACACAAGAAAAAATTACTTTTATAAAGATAATTTAACAAGTATTATCTTTGTCACCCAACCAAAGTTAAAGTATTCAATTAAGGCAATGTAATCATTAATCACAGACACTAGCCTTTAGAAATTAATATGGCAGGAGGTCAGACATTCACTGTTCCCAGGGCCTGTCATCACCAGGTTGCAAAGTAAGAGACTGTCACGCATGCCTCAACAGATGCAAGCAACAGGCAGCAAAATATGTAAGTAACTTTTTCATGTCAGCCGTGTAACTTTAAGAACAGGGTTTATACTTGAAAAATAAAATAATGCAATGTTTGCAAAATGCTTATCTGTGTGAACAGGTTAAGGAACAGGCAACATGAGAAGCACCCCAAAGCTACTGAAAGCAAAGTGGCACCTCAAAATCTGGATTTTTGACAAGCTCCCCAAGGATGTGTAAATAAATTTGGCAAAGACCAAAAACAGCCAACATAATGTTGTATATTTAATTCATACTTCTCAAATCCTTGCTGACTAAAGCAATATTTTAAACATACAATCCCTCTTTACAATTAACGTTTCCTACATTTAAGTGTAGTGTTTTTTGTAGGGCTTATGCCAATAAGCTATTTCTTAAAGTATTTATTTTGAGAAATCATGGCATTTCAATGGTAAGAGGAAAGAAAAAAAGGATTAATATCTTTCACTGTAGCAATGATTTGCCTTTAAAGATGCTAAAAGGAACATTTCACATGATCAATTTATCTAAGGTAAGAATAAAGTGCTCTGACATTTTTAAAAGTACTCAGAAAAGAGAAATAAATAATGAAAAAAGTATGGCCAAGCTGAATAGCTGGAAATTTCAGTTATTACAGTTCTAACATTAATCATCCAACTTACTGATAACTCATCTCCCCTCATTTTTTCACCTAAAAACAAAGGAACTCTACCTCCCCTAGAAATGTCACATTAAATAAATTATGTATATTCATCCAATGAAGCTATCATGGAGATATTTTAATAATATTTTAAGAATCTGAAAAAATACAAATGATAATTTTAGATGAGAAAAAAAAGGATACACAGAAATATAATTGTAATAGTATCCCAATTTTGCTTAGTAAGAAGAGATGTACCAGATGTGGTTATCTTTAGGTGGTAAAATCACTGGTAATCTTTTATTTTTTATTCAGTGAACCTATATGCAGGTTGTGCATTCCTAATCCAAAAATCTGAAATCTAAAATGCTCCAAGATCCAAAATGTTTTGAGCACCAATATTTTATTGCAAGTAAAAAATTTCACACCCAACCTCATATATGATGGTTCACAATCAAAACTCAGGCCCATTACATTTTACTCAGGGTTGCCAAAGGAAAAATCATTATCATAGATTAACTAATCATTACAATGAATTAAATAACTTATTTATGAAACACAAATGAATTTCAGGTTTAGACTTGGGTCTCATCCCTAAGATTACATACATACAAACATTTCGAAATCCAAAAATTTCTAAAATCGAATACACTTCTAGTCTCAAGCATTTTAGATAAGAGGTACTCAACCTATATTATGTATCTAATAAGGAAAAGAAAAAACCCTATTAAAAAAGAATCAGAGGTTATAAATTCTAACTGGAAGTGCCTTTATAATTAAGGATGATTGGTTCCACATTTTAAATCTCTTTGTATCACCTAAAACAGAGCATAGCACTATGACTGCTGAATAAAATAAATTAGAATGCTGATATAATCCTTCAGTTAAAGAAAATAATTTATTTTAAAATACTAAACCTGTATGTTGCTGTTCTCATTTGCCCGTCGCCGTCCTTCTACTCGGCTGATAGTTATAGTCTGACCAATAACATCAATTGCCCCAGGTAATCTCCTGTAACATAAAAATTGAATCAATTCAGTTTCACCTAATTAGATGCTTAAAAAATAATAAAATCATAAAGAAATAAAAACAGAAGGTGTCTGCAATAAATTTTAAAGTGAAATCAGATCACAATACACTTTGAAAAATATTCCGGGGTTTAAGCTCACTACTTTTGCACTGTTATAAAAAGTTTCATTAAGAAATTAACTACAATCAACATACCCAACAATGATCATGTTAAATTTTAAGTCTCTGTAGACCTCTTCTAAACTTACTATTTTTAGTAGTCTCCAAATGAATTTATCTTTTGTGAAATTAAATGAGACAGCAAATACCAGACAAATGGAAATTTGGGGGCCACTACAATTTTAACACACATGACAGCTCTATTATAAAAACTTTAAATATTTCCCAAAAAGGCTTGACAATAATGCTCATTTTGACACACACAGGATATTTTCCTTGTGATATAGTCCAAGTATTAAAAAACATAAAAAGGGAACCTGTTTTCCATTTCTGATAACTTGAATTTAGATAGAAAAGTTGAAATATTTAAATACTTGCCCTACCTCTATTTACAATCTTTAAAGTTCTTGAGGATATGGAAAAATGGTCTACCACAAAACAATGCTACAAATTTAACAGAAAAACTTAGTAAGCTGTATTTTAAATAATTAAAATAAAGTTAAAAGCTATTATGCAGATGAAGGACTCTATAAAAGTATACATGCCTAAGATGATATAGAAGTCAATTGGAAAAACAGAAAATAAAAAGTGGATGCAAATTAGATGAATTTCTCTTCATCTATATTTCAGTTCTGAACAATTCTGCCTTTAAAACTTTATAGAAGTAAAACAATTAAAATATCACAGATCCTTCCAGTCACTAGATTAGGCTCCTAAAATGAGAAATAACAGCAGCTACCATTGGCTGGATGCCAAACCCATTACATCTAAACCTCACAAAAACTTAAAAATTATTGTGTACCTGTTAAAGACAAGCCAGGGTCCAAAGTGAAATCACTGACCTAAGTATGAATTAAATGACGAAACTTAACTTTCAAACCTGAGTTTTTCTGATCCCAAAGCCTATCGACTTTCCCTTCCCTTGAGCTAGGTTTCTTCCAGCAAGACAATTCACCTTTGAGGAATTTAATACTTTTCTGGAAATCATAGGTTAGTAAGAGTTTATATTAAGTAGACATTGAAACACTCCAAAAATAACTGTATGCTAACAAAGTCAGCCTTATTAAAAGTATATCATGACATCTGAAATTTCTTCAAACATAGTTCCCACCTACCATCTCTTGCCCACTTAAGACTTCCCTTCTCTATAATTTTAATACAATTTAAAAATGTTCATGCCTTTCTGACTTTATGCCTGGGTCACTGACTTCCCAGGTCTCCTCATGGTCCCAAAGATCAAGAATGATTTAATTGGAAGAATAACATATCCTCCAATACAGCTAGGGAAAGACGTTAATATATACACATTACAAAAATCCAAATATCTCGACGATAAGACAAACATTGCGTCAATTTCTTCCCTATAACTTAAATTATAAAGCTATGCCCACTATAACTGCATTATCAAAGCACATGCCATCAGCCCTCTGATATACAAACATTTCATATTCCAACATCCTATAAATACAGGTGTGCATTCTGAGGCTGTCGTTTCTTTTCCGTTTATGGCTGCCTAGACTTCATTGTCAAAATTTTTACTTTCACTATTTCCTTTTCTACTGCCAATCACTTGATTCTCTCCTTTGCAGTTTTAAATTTATTCCCATAAAGAACAAATTCCACCAAGTTTGTTTGGACTTGCAAGTCAGCAAACTCTTCAAATCATTAAAAGTGGTAAAAATTAGATCGAGATATAAGACTAACTTTCCTGTTGAGGGGAAAAATTTCTACAACCTGTCTTTTACCATTTATTTCTAAGGATCTCTAGTTTTAAAAAATTCTGGAACACATTAAAGTATTCAACTCTTAAAATGTACCTTAAATATGGTCAAAAGTCTAATTAGTTTTTTTCAGCTTTAAATTGATTTTTTTTTGAATCACTAAAAATTCAAAATGACAAATACTATGTTTCTAAAAATATATAACTGAGAAATCAGCCTTAACAAGTATATATCCCTAAAGGGAGATTAGAAAATTATAATTCTCTACATTTTCATAACATCTCCTTATGCAGGTATTTTTTAACCACATAAACTGAGTTACTTTAATCAAACACATTAAGTTCACTGTTTTGTTCAGAAATGTTTTATGAGAGACACATAGTATGTACCACAGTAACAAAAAGCACGTTAATATCTAACACTGACAAATAATTTAAAAATCTAATGTTATCCTGATGCCATATTATGGAAAAAATATTGAACCATGTTATTCCATGAAAGTTCTTAAAGAACAGCTTTCTCTTTCATTGCATAAAATGATTTAGTAGAGTTTCTCTATGAGGAAATCAACTATAACTCAGAGTTTCACAAAACATAGGTTAAATTAGGACAACAAACTTGTTCAGTAAGTAGACAGCTAATGCTATTACCAAAATTCTCTTCTCCATATTGGACTCAATCATCTAGTAAAAAGCTAAGGAAGAAACCAACCACCCTGGGTGTCTGAATCAATGTACAGTTTAAACAGGTAATAAATGTTCCCAAGATCCTCTACCTCCCTCCTGGCACAGATGAATATAAAAATATCTCTGAAGTTACAATGGAATTAAATTATCATATTTTGATGATTCTGATGTCCCAGAAAGGATTTGAGGGCTCCCCATAGAAATGCAACAGAAAGTTTCAAATCACAAATCAGGGCTAATAGAAGATAGACGAAAGGCCATAAATTTATCTTTGAAGGTCAGGCTCACACATGTGAGGAGCCTGAGATGGGAGGATTACTTGGACCCAGGAATTCAAGAACAGTCGAGGCAACATGGCGAGACTGTGTGTGTACAATAATTTTAAAAATTGGCCAGGCATAGTGGGACATGCCTGTGGTTCCAGCTATTCAGAGGGCTTAGGTGAGAGCATTGCTTGAGTCCAGGAGATGAAGGATGCCGTGAACCGTGATTATGCCACTGTACTCCAGACTAGGCAATAGAGCAAGAGCCTATCTCAAGAAAAAATAAAATAAATAAATAAAAAATAAATCTCAGCTGCTTTTTCTTGGCAGCCAAAGCAAAGGTTATCATTAATAATTAATGTCTTTAACGTGCATAAGATTAAAACAAAGCATTTGCTCTGAAGATTGTTTTTCCCAGTAATGACAGCCAGTATTTATGGAGCATCTACTATGTGCAAGGTAAGCAATGTTCTGAATACTTTATATATATTTAGTCTTCATAATAAACCCATAAGGCAGCAGCTCTTACTCTTGTCATTTGACAAATGAGAATAAAGAGAAAAAATTTCTCCTTTAAGAGAAAATATGAATACAATAGTTTTTAAACTTTATGGACTACAAAACACAGTAAGGAATACATTTTACGTAGCAATCCAGTAGTCACATTACATTAAAAACTAAAAAGGTTCATGAAACAATACTTAAAAAGGAAAAACAATACTTAAAAAAGGACATTAAGATAAAATGTAATTTTGTTAATATTTAAATACTGCATAGAAAAAAGCAAAATAAACAATACAAAACCAAGAAATACTGGTTGGGACCACCAAATTGTTTCACAACTCATTAATGGACTGCAATCTCATGCTTTTAAAACTATTTAAATAAAGTCTCCAATATTCCTACCAAAAAAAAAATTGAGTTTTACAGAGCTGTTTCTCACAATGCTCTTTAATGCTGAATGAAGCACAACAGCGCACAATTCAGTAAGAGCAATTTAATTTAGGAGAAGCAACACAATGTGGTCTGCGTGTCTAGCGCTGTTAATAGGCTTGATCTAATAATTTAACTGTGCTTTTGAGAACAGTTCAAGTTCTTAACTAGCAACGTGGTTCTCTAAAGAGGAATCAGGAAGTCCCTGATTCTAAATAAATACCTAATGTATAGATGTAATTTTCAGGCAAGGGTCCAGAGTTTACAGCAAATTTTCAAATGGGTTATTGCTTGAAAGAAAGTTCATAACCTTATTTTTTTTTCCCACAGAAAGGACATTCAGACATAACCATATTTTAAAAGAATGGATGAATCACATATCGATGTAGAAATCTATGAATGTTTTCTCACAGAAGAGCTTCTAGTAAGAACTGGGTAGCACACAGTTCAAAGGTCCATTCTCTAAGAAAAAAAGCCTAGAATGTGCCTATCTGACATTCTCAACTTGAAAAGAGATGCACTTGTTATGACATTTAATTCAGGTCACATATGTAAACAGCTCTGCATGGAAACTGTGTAGCATCTTTTAAGCTACTTTAGGAAAGAGATGAGCCTTAGAAGACATGTTGGATTGATTTAAGCACACAGGATGGGAAGGTAGAACAGTTCAATGGAGGGAAGACTATGAGTAGAGAGAAAAGATGGAGGGGGGCAGACATTATGTGCAAAATTTCTGCTTAGCAAATATATTACCTATCAATCTACTTGCAACAGAAGCATCATGCACCTTTGATAGTGGTTACCAACCAAAAGACATTCAAAGAGGCAGAGAATATGAATTAAATGAGAATCATGTGAAGAAAAAGACTGTGAGGCTGTAAAATGCTATGCAAATATCACCTCCCATTGTAACTACATCTATCACTTTACTTCAAAACCGCAGGTACACAGCTATCATTTGATTTTAATCTTTATGCCAACCCAGAATCAAGTCTCTAAATCAGTCGTTCTCAACCTTGCCTGCATATCAGAATCCTGATGCACAGGGTGTACACCAGACTATTTAAATCAGCATTTCTGGGACCCAAGCATCAATACTTTACTGAAGCTTCCTAGGTAATTCCAACATAGTCAAAGTTGAAAACTACAAATCTAAGGGCATATTCAAGAAACTGACAGACATTTTGTTGGCAAATAAAAAATTAACATTTAACTCTTTA